CGACACAATATTGAGACCTGAGGATGGTGTTCAGATTTTGCCCACTGGCTCCTTTGGACCTCCCCCAGCTAATATGTTCTTTTTTATTCTTGGCCGAGCCTCCTCCACTCTTGCGGGGCTCATAGTCCACCCCTCCATAGTAGATAGTGACTTTACCAGGGAAATTAACATCTTAGCCAGTGTGCTTACAGGCCCTGTGTATGTCTCTAAGGGACAGCGCTTAGCTCAGGCATTACCAAGGCCTTCTTGATTCAGGCGCCGATTCCACAGTTATTGCCCAAGACGCCTGGCCCGATTCATGGCCACTGCAGTCCTCCCTTATGCACTTACAAGGTATAGGACAGTCTAGAGATACTCTCCAGAGCTCAAAAATTTTGACATGGGAAGACTCTGAGGGAAACAGAGGTACTACTCAACCCTTTGTAGTCCCGAGCCTACCTGTTAACTTATGGGGGCGTGATATCCTTGCACAAATGAATGTCATTATGTGCAGCCCCAATGAAGTTGTAGCCAGCCAAATGCTTAAACAGGGATTCCTCCCAGGACAGTGTTTAGGCAAGGAGGGTCAGGGACTAAGAGCACCCTTAACCACCCTCCCTAAGTCAGACAGATCAGGACTAGGGTTCAAAGACCATTTTTCGTAAGGGCCATTGATCCCCCTGCACTTCAGGCAGATAAAATCACTTGGAAAAGTGACTCCCCTGTCTGGATCGATCAGTGGCCCCTCCCGTCTAACAAACTAGCCGCAGCTACAGCGTTGGTGCAGGAACAATTAGCTGCCGGACACATAGAGCCCTCTACTTCACCATGGAACACCCCCATTTTCGTCATTCAAAAAAAGGACTGGCAAATGGCAGCTGCTACAAGACTTACGGGCTGTTAACCAAACAATGGTTCCCATGGGGGCACTCCAGCCTGGTTTGCCTTCGCCCATAGCTATCCCCAAAGGCTACTATAAAATAGTCATTGACCTAAAAGACTGCTTCTTCTCCATACCATTGCACCCAGATGACTGCAAACGTTTTGCGTTCAGTTTCCCGGTAGTAAACTGTATAGGACCCTCTCCGCGCTTTCAGTGGCGAGTATTGCCTCAAGGCATGGCCAACAGCCCTACCCTTTGCCAAAAATATGTGGCTCAGACAATTGATTCTTTTAGAATTCAACATCCTCAGCTATATATAATTCATTATATGGATGACATTCTTCTAGCTGGGGCCAACGAGGCAACCTTACATCAAGTTACCATGCAGGTTGTCTCGGCCTTACAAGCTCGAGGCCTTCGCCTGTCCCCTGAAAAGATTCAGGTCTGCCCCCCTCACCTGTTCCTAGGCTTTGAATTGTTCCCCAATAAGGTCCTCTCCCAAAAGGTGCAAATAAAAAAGGACTCTCTTCAGTGCCTTAATGATTTTCAGCGCCTTCTAGGCGACATTACTTGGCTTCGCCCATATTTGAGACTCACCACAGGACAGTTAAAACCCCTATTTGACATCCTGCAGGGAGATGCTGATCCAACCTCTCCCCGCTCCCTAACTAAAGAAGGGCAGCAAGCGCTTGATTTGGTCGAGCAGGCCATAAATGCCCAGGCCATTGGCTACTTCTCCCCCGACTCCCCGTTGTACTTCATTGTCCTCCCTACCCCCTTTTCGCCCATGGGACTCTTTTGGCAGGGCAAGCCCCTTTTTTGGGTTCACCTATCGGCTTCCCCCCCTAAAGTCCTTCCCACCTACCCTTACTTAGTAGCTAAGATTATTCGCTTGGGGCGAGAAAATTCCCTTAAGCTCTTTGGAAAGGATCCAGATATCATAATACTCCCTTACAATGCTTCTCAAATTCGGTGGCTAATACAAAATAATGATGATTGGGCGGTTAACTATACGTCTTTCCAGGGCAAACTAGATAATCATTACCCCCCTGATAAATTAATTCAGTTCCTCTATCGGACACCTGTAATATTTCCAAAAAAAACAAGAGTTCCCCCATTCCAGGAGCTGTCTTAGTCTTTCCCGACGGCTCCTCCTCAGGCACCGCAGCCTATAGCATTAATGGCCAGATCCGCAGTTTTCCCACCAGATTCTCCTCTGCTCAGCTCGTTGAGTTAGCAGCCTTAGTCGCAGCCTTCAAACACGTAGATCAGTCACCATTTAACTTGTATACTGATAGTTCTTATATTGCTCATGCTGTCGCCACTTTAGAAACTGTGCCTCATATTCGGCCCTCCAACAATACCACTCAAATGTTCCAGCAACTACAAGGACTCATTCACTCCCGTTCTGCGCCCTTTTTCATAGGCCATATTCGCACCCACACTGACCTTCCTGGGCCTCTAGTCGCTGGAAATAATCTTGTTGATCAGGCAACCCGAGTTGCAGGTGCAGTCCACACTATCACTGTTGATCCTGTTTGCGCTGCACGCCAAGCTCATGATTTACACCATCTCAATGCCCATACCCTCAGACTTAAATTCTCCATTACTTGGGAACAAGCCAGAGAGATCGTCCGCCAATGCAAGGCCTGTTTTACCCTTCTCCCTGAACCACACCTAGGAGTCAACCCTCGCAGCCTAATCCCTGGGGAGCTCTGGCAAATGAATGTCACTCATTACTCCTCTTTTAAAAAGCTTAAATATGTACATGTCTCTGTAGACACTTGCAGTGGATTTATCTTTGCTTCCTTACAAACAGGCGAAGCCACCCGCCACATTATTAGTCATGTTATAGCCTGTCTCACCTCCCTCCCTCAGCCTAAAGTTATTAAGACTGACAATGGCCCAGGATATGTCAGCTCCAATTTCAAAAGTTTTTGTGCTCAGCTAGGCATTAAGCATATTACAGGCATTCCATACAACCCTCAGGGCCAAGGTATTGTAAAAAGAGCTCATCAGACATTAAAAAATACACTCTCCAAACTACAATCAGGAGGAGGAATTTTATACCCTTTGACAGGTAATTCCAAGACCCTGCTTAATCATGCCCTGTTCATTTTAAATTTTCTCACCTTTGACACCGCCGATAAAACAGCCGCCGACCGCCTTTGGCATCCATCCACCAAAGATACTTATGCACAGGCCTTATGGAAAGAGCCGCTTACCGGCAAATGGTTGGGGCCTGACCCCGTCCTCATATGGGGAAAGGGACATGCCTGTATCTATGATACCCAGGCAAAAAACGCCAGATGGCTACCAGAGAGAACGATTAAGTTATATAATCCACCCAGGGAACCCCCTGAAAAGAATTCTTGATTCTGTTCTCTTCCAGAAATACAATGACTCCCCAAAAAAAGACACTGCCCCTCCTGTGCCTGGTTCTGGTCGTGATCAAGAGCACCATCACAACCAACATCCATCAGATCTACAACTATACATGGCAGGTAATTAATGAGGCAGGAGACGTTGTTAATTCCTCCTCACGTCTCTCCGCCGTTATACCATGGGATCCATTAAAAGTCGACCTATGCGTATTAGCTCTTGGGGCTAAAGACCATGGGTGGGGCCTTCCTGCACTTTACGCCCCTCAGCCAGCTCCTCCAACGACTGACTCCTCCCCAGGCCTTTGCTCCTCGGGAGCCGGACGCTCTGCGACGAGATATGAAGACTTTTATATTTGCCCAGGGACCCATCGACCTCACACCAACAACTACCAATGTGGTTACGCCCCTGACCTCTTTTGTGCTTCCTGGGGCTGTGAGACCACCGGTGATCCCTACTGGAATCCCTCCTCTTCCTGGGATTATATCACCGTCAAAAAGCGGTTTCTCCGTCAAGCTCCTTCGTCCCCTTACGCCCCACAACCACCCACTGATCCTCAATATAACAACCAGTGGTGCAACCCCCTGTTAATTTCATTCACCAAAGCTAAAAAAAAGGCTTCCTGAAATCAGTCCAGAGGATTTAAATGGGGACTTAGACTTTACATATCTAAAAAAGACATTAAGGCCGGGCGCTGTGGCTCACGCCTGTAACCTAGCTCTTGGGAGGCCGAGGCGGGCGGATTGCTCAAGGTCAGGAGTTCAAAACCAGCCTGAGCAAGAGCGAGACCCCGTCTCTACTATAAATAGAAAGAAATTAATTGGCCAACTGATATATATATAAAAAATTAGCCGGGCATGGTGGCGCATGCCTGTAGTCCCAGCTACCCGGGAGGCTGAGGCAGAAGGATCACTGGAGCCCAGGAGTTTGAGGTTGCTGTGAGCTAGGCTGACGCCATGGCACTCACTCTAGCCTGGACAACAAAGCGAGACTCTGTCTCCAAAAAAAAAAAAAAGACATTAGTCTCACATTTAAAATCAAATTAATTAAAAGCCTCCCCAGAGGTCCTATGGTTGCAATAGGTCCTAACCACGTCCTACACCCACCTCGACCTCGCGGTCCCTCCAGGGGCCTACCCTCCTCCCCAGCTGTGTCCCCTTTTCCGTTTAGCACCTCCCTATACCAACCTACCCTGCCCGAGGGGCCCCCCTCCTCTGCAAAACTAATTCTCACCCTAGTCAACGCCTCTATCAGGACCATCGGAGAGGCCAACAATTCAAAATATCAAGAGTGTTGGGTATGCTACTCCCCCTGGCCTCCCTTCTATGAAGGTGTCGCTACATTTGGTAAACCATTATTTACTAACGACACCAGCAAACTCAGATGGGGCCTAGAGACCCATGGTGGCCTGACACTCAGCCAAATCACAGGCCTAGGCCTTTGCCTTCTTAGCCCAAAAATGCTTCCCCCCACACCCTTAAAAAATATATACAATCAGTCAATTACTGTCGACTCCATCTTTCAGTATATTCAGGCATCTAACACCTCTTATTTTGCTTGTTCTTCTGGCCTTACCCCATATATAGTCACTACAACATTTCTTGAGCATAGAGAATATTGTGTGTTAGTCATGCTCTTCCCCAGACTCACTATACGTCCTGCTGACAAATTGCTCAAATTTTAAAAGCGCGGCACCACAATGCCCCGAAAAAAGAGAGAGCCCATCACGGCCATAACAGTCACAGTTGTTCTAGGCCTTGGTGCCACAAGAGCTGGAACAAGCATAGCCTCTCTAGTCACCTCCAACCAGCAATACCTGCAGCTCTCTGCTGCCATCGATAACGATCTCCGAGAGCTACAGCAGGGCCTAAAATATCTCAAAAAATCCCTCGATTCTCTTTCTGAGGTAGTGTTGCAAAATAAAAAAGGCCTAGACTTAGTGTTCCTCCAAGAGAGAGGTTTGTGCGCAGCACTTAAAAAAAAATGTTGCTTCTACACAGACAAAACAGGTCTGGTAAAAAATAGCATTAAAAGAGTCAGACAAAGCCTAAAAGATAGGAAAAAACAAAAAAAAAAAAAAATAAAGCATGATATCAAAATTGGTTTTCTACATCCCCCTGACTATCCACATTGCTTCCCAGTGTCTTAGGGCCGCTTGTAGGTTTTCTGTTGCTTCTCACCTTTGGGCCTTGGGCATTCAAAAAACTAAATGATTTTGTCAAGTCACAGGTAGATGCAGCCACACAAAAATCGGTCTCCGTGTTTTACCAACGGCTAAAACAAAGAGGCTCCAAAAAAGACCTCCATGGAGAGTCTCCCAATACACCCACTAAAGGTCTAAATTTCTCAAACCTTGCCTCAGACATAGAACGCAGTTGGTTCCAAAGGCTGTGGAGACGCCCATGACGGGATTATCGCGATGCCGTGTACCAGATGCACACCCCGCCGACAGTGAGGTGACTCCATGACGGGAATATTGTAGGTCCATGCCCGGGGGCACACTTCATAATCAAAAGTGCCAAAGCTGGATGCTACCTACATAGCCTAAAACAGAGGCCTCACCTTCACGTTAATCGCCCAATCTTATATTTGGGGTGCTGGTCGCGGAAGCCCATCGCATAGCCTAAGACAGGCTCTCCACCAACCTATATAAATCTCCCTCATATTAATAAAGAGAGGGGGAGATATTGGAGGTAAAGACCCTCAAAGACCCTCAACTCCCCTATGACTCGTCCTACACACGGGCTTCGCCCTAGAAAATTCCAGCTATAGCTCCAAAAAAAATGCATTCCATGACGTGCTGACCACGGAATGCTCCAATGTGTGCTAACTGCAATTGTTCCCAGCCACCTGCCAGGTTGGAGATGAGTAACCAGTCACAAACAGGATACCGATAAGACGCTGATTGGGGCTGATTAGCCCAAACCCAAGACTCATCGTCACCCCACTCTATTTTTCTGTTTCTACTTCCTTGTTTCTGTATACTTATAAAACCTACAAAAAATCCAAGTAAAGTAGACCTTGACAACCCTTTGCTTGGTCTCATTCCTTTCTCTCGCCCATCTCTTTCAGGCACGGTCCCCCTTGACCCCACAAATAACAAAATGTTCCTCGGGCCGGGACAACTGTGCCCTCCTCAACCAGGAGTTCTTCCACCAGCTTTGGATCCAGCAGTGGTGGAGAGGGTTCTGCAAGATTTGGATTGAAAGGGTTCATGAGATTCAACCTGGTTAATGCCTTCCCAATTTTGTCCCAGAGCTTTCAGCCTCTTTATTATGCAATTGCATGAAAGATTGTACATACGGGATCTCATCCCATTTACCTGAACTTTGACAAAATAATTCCAGTTATAAGATAGTATAATACTTTAAGGTCCCATTCAACAGCCACTTCTCCTCACATTCCAACACATTGGCCAAGGAGTATTACAATAAAACACTATTCTCTTTTTTATTATTATTATTTCAGCATATTATGGGGGTACAAATGTTAAGGTTATGTATATTGCCCATGCCCTCCCTCCCCCACACCATTCTATTTTTAGACATAAGTTTATAGCTATAAGTTGGCCATTCAGCCAAGATTCTCCCCAAGGGACTTTCAGATGGAATAGAAACGGAGCCTCCCATGTTGAAACAAAACTCAAAAACAGCAACAACAAACACAAGTTGACAAGTAGATGGTACAGGGAATTCCTAATGCAAACAATCTCAATGCCAAGGCCTGCCAAACAAATGGGAACTACACAAAGAGAACTGAGCTCTCCTAACCCGAAGGGGATGAAGTCCCAGGTTTCCTCCACCCACTCAACCATGGCTTCCACACCTACAGCACCACAAATGCCCTACCACGTGGCTGGAAGGTTAATAACCTTCCCCAAATGGGTGGAATCAAGGGTCTTAGTGTGCACACCAGGGGACCCACCTAAAAGGCCAAGGCATAGTGACTCTTCCCAAACCCATTTCCTTTTCTTCAGCGAGGGTCAGGCTGTGAGGCATTGTATCTAATTAGGGGGTGAGGGGAGGGAGAGATGGGAGTTCCCCAGAGCTAAACAAGTTCCTGCAGCTGCTGGAGTGGTCTCTCACTCTCTCACCCTGAAAAGACAATGCTCCTACTGACCCCGGGGCTGCTTCCTGCCTCTTCCAGCCATGGCAGCAGTTGATCACAGGTGCTGTTCCACTGGGGCATCATTGAGCCACTGAGGGATGCCAAATTTTTTTACCAAAAGTTCCATATTTGTTCCCAAGTCCAAATCAATGAGAAAAAAGAATGAAGACAAGTGGTTTGAGGAAAAGAAAAGAGAAGATTATTAATTTGCTGGCAAATGAGAAGGGTGGTAGACTAGCATCTCAAAGACTGCCATCCTGTCTTTAAGCAGAAGAACAAGGCTTTTTACAAGTGGGATTTTCTGCTAGGGTGGGCTCGGGTCTACCTGACCAGTGTCTCAGGCTATTGTTGTTTAACTATAATTGGTGGTTTCCGTGGGCCTCATCTCCAGTGACAATGATCTTGTGACCCTTGCACAATTCTGTTGAGCCATCTCCTGTGGTTTAAAGTACTAGGAAACAAACAGCAAAGAACATTTTTCTGCCCCTTTGATTACTGGCCTCAGGAAGGAATACAGGTTTTAATTCCCAAAAAGGGTGAGGCGTTTAAAGAGACAACTTGTAAAACATTTTGTTGACCTTTTTCAGACCTTTACTCTGTTATATAATGATCATCACTATCTAGTTTCAGAACACTTTTATCACCCCATGCTTCTTAGCAGTCACTTCTCATTCCTTCCTCCTCCTACCACCTCCACCCCTGGCAACCACAAATCTACTTTCCATGTGTATGGATTTGCCTATTCTGGACATTTCATAAAAATGGAATCACACAGCATGTGTGGCCTTTTGTGACTAGCTTCTTTTGTTTATCATGATGTTTTCAAGGTTCATCTATGTTGTAGCATATATCAGTATTTCATTCCTTTTTATGTCTGAATTATATTCCATTGTATAGCTAGTCCACATTTTGTTAGCTATCCATTCACCAGGTGACAGACATTTCAGTTATTTCTACTTTTTTGTGCTATTATGAATAATGCTGATATGAATATTCATGTATAGGTTTTTGTGTGAACACATGTTTTCAGTTCTCCCGGGTACATACCCTAGGAGTGGAATTGCTGGGTCAAATGGTAACTCTATTTTTAACATTTTGAAGAATTGCCAAACTGTTTTCC